TGGTCTTTATCTATGTGAAATTAAAAGAAATATTTTTCACAGAAATAAAATGCATTGGGTACTTAAAAATATTGTATTAGCATGTATAATACTTATAATACTCAATTTCATTATGACATTTTCATACGTGCGATTGATCACATTCACCCATTACCTCATCTGTCCCCTTCCCTCTGTCACTTTCACCTAACCTTTTGGTTTCATGTTGCACAAGGAGGGGTCTTTTTGTTTGTCCCGGCTGCCCGACTAGCTTACACTCGAAATAATCACACAGAAACTGTATTCATTTAAACACTGCCTGACCCATTAGCTCTAACTTCTTATTGGCTAACTTACATATTAGTTTAACCCATCTCCATTAATGTGTATGTATCGTCATATGACTGTGGCTTACTGGCAAGATTCTAACCACTGTCTGTCTCAGGCAGGAGAACCATGGCGTCTGCCACTCTGCCCTTCTTTCCAGCATTCAGTTCTGTCTACTCTGCCTACCTAATTTCTGCCCTATCAAAAGGCCAAGGCAGTTTCTTTATTCAACCAATGAAAGCAACACATAAACAGAAGGACCTCCTACACCAATTCCACTTCTACTTCTGTGTTTTTCTGGTTTGGAATTGGTAAACCACTGAGTTTACCTAGGGCTATTTGCAGGCACATGGATGATAGTGATTGCAGGAGGATAGGCAACGTGCCAGTGCCTACACCCCCCAAGCAACTCTCCCAGAAACCATTAGTTGCTCATAGCTCTTCATGGAGAAGTGAAAGCTCTCTCTAGCAGTTGATAAATGGCTGCAAGACCTCAAAGAGAAGCTTGTCCATGTGAGCTCCTTCCCTCTTCGTGGTGAAAGACTGATGAGCCCAATCTTGTGCTTCTCTTGTGCTGGGAATCCCAGCTATGGAGCTCAACCCTGTCCTGTCTAGAAGGCAACCTCTCTGCAGCACTCTCCCCCTTCCTTGAGTGCTTACATTCCTGGAGCTTTCTCTTAATAGTTCTATTAATTACTTTTGAAATGTTGCCAGCCATGTGATAGCTATCATATGATGACTGGTCATGTTTACTTTTGATGGTCAGCAGACTGCGCAAATAGAGTCTTCACTGATTTTTGTTGAAAGAAAATAATTGAAAATATTTTAAAAGGTTTATTCTTTTTAAGTTATGCTTTTTTTGTGGGGGTGAATTATGTATGTGTTTGTGCATAGGAGTTCAGGGATTTTCATAGGCCAGATAAGAGTGTTAGATCCCTTGAAACTGTAGTTACCGATGGTCGTGAACTGATTGATATGGGTGCTGGGAACTGAACTCCTCTGAAAGAGCAGTATGTGCTTTTAAACCCTGAGAGACATCTCTCTACCTTTAAAATACTACTACTACTACTACCAAACCCTCAAAAATGTCTTACGACATTTTAATTAGGTTCTTAATCATTTTTAAAATATTTGATAATGCAGGATTTACTTATCAAGGCATACCAAATAAATAGCGTTTCTTCCTTTAACTCTTTTATCAAATACTTTGCTTAGACTATGTTTTTCACCAGGGTAGGCAGTGGGGCATAGAGAAGACTGGCCCTTGGCCATTGAATTTAATAGTCTCTTGATCAACTCAGGGTACAGGTATATCCACAGAATGATGGTATAACACTGTGACCATTATGAGCAATGCTCTGTGGGGAACATGGAGTGCCTGGGATAAGTGCAGGACTTAGTGATGCAAGCCTCAGCTACTCGGGAGGCTGAGGTAGAAGGATCAAGGCTAGTATGGAATATAGAGTGAGTTTTAGAACAATCTAGTAACTTAGTAAAGTTCTGTGTGTTGGGGGAGGGGAAGAAAGGGAAGAAGAAGGAGGAGGAGGCGGAGGAGAAGGAGGAGGGAAGGAGGGAGGGAGGGAGGGAGAGACAGAGAGAGAGAGAGAGAGAGAGAGAGAGAGAGAGAGAGAGGAAACTGAGACTGAATAAGCAGGAAGTCCAGATTCTAGTTCAGACAACTTTTCTCAACAGTTGCCTAAATTTCCTCACCTAAGAAGGAAGTAATAATAGTACTTTTAAAAAAGAAACTGATAATTATATAGAATGATACAGAAAAATTCCAATGAATTTGACACATAGCACATATTTAAGAAACAGAAAAAAGTAGGCCATTGTATTATGATAAAGAAGAGGCCAGTTAGCTTTCAGGATAAGTAAGAAGAGCTTTCTAAGGGCTGTATTATATATTATTAAACAGTTTACACAGTTGGCCATTAATATATTCTTCCTTAAATAATGAATATATTTTACAATACAAGGGTTTATGAGATTTTATTATGTATTAGGTCATGTTTTCAGCCTTATGAAAACCTGTCATAATTTAATTTTCATCCAACCCCAAGAAAGAAATATGAATTATGTAATTCCATCTCACAGATGAGTGTTCTGAGGCCTCAAATCAGTTACCCAAGATTTCATACAGTCAGCAAGTTGCCAAACTACATTTACTTTTCTTTTAGCCTGGTTCAAAATATCCTCTTATTCTTCATTATTTTTGACTCTTTACCTAAAAGTGCTGCTGACTTCAAACTATCTTTAGCGTATGATGCATTTTCTCAATCAATGGATACTAAAAACACATTGCCTTACTCAATAAAATATTCATAAGAGTCTCTTTCAGCATTATTATTTTACACATAAAAACTTATTATAGAAAATAAATGAAGGTGATAAAAATAAATGATTGGTTATTCCAGTTTCCATGGATAATCACTGCAGCCACATTTTTTTCCCCTGGGAATACATTCAGACAACTACATTGATGTTTGGGTGGCTCTGTATAAGATTGTATGCATGTCTTTACATATTTATTTTTATTTATTTGTATGTGGGGTGGTGGGTGGCCGATGTGTATAGTTGATTACAGAGCTCAGGGAGGGTTACAGGTGGTTGTGAATCCGCCCTACAAGGGAGCTGAGAAATGAACCTGGGTCCTCTGAAAGAACTGCAAGCATTCCTAACCACTGATCCATCTCTTTACCCCCTAAGGTTATATTTTTCTTGCATAAAAGAACAGAATTATCATACACACATATTGTAAAGACACAATCTGATTGTGTAGCCCAGACTATCTTTTAACTTGTAACCTTTTTGTCTCAGCTCCCAGAGTGCTGGGACTGCAGGTGTTCAAGTGTAACTAGTGATAATTCTGTATATATTTCAACCCAGTTGTGGTGGGGCACAGGTCTTTAATCCCAGCACTCAGGAGGCCAAGGCTGAGGTGAGGCAGGTGGATCTCTGTGAGTTGGAGGCCAGCCTGGTCTATAAGACGAGTGTCAGGACAGCCAAGGGTACACAAAAAAGCCTTGTCTGGAGAAACCAAAACCCAACCAATCAAAATTTATTTCAACCCATGTTTTAATTAGCAATATAGTGCAAGATTCTTTTCCTACTAGGTGTTGTAGAGCTGAGGATACTTCATGTCACGCATCAAAGGCTCAGTGAGTCTCAGCTGTTACGCAGTTACAATTCTTACTGCTCGGCTCTCAAACTGCTCTCCAGTGCAGCTGCAATGGCAATCTTCTTCCAGCCCTCCTCTTCCTCCAAAGCCGGCTTTCACTGCTTCATCTCACATGGAATTGTATCGTTTTGTTTTATACTTATTTTAGTCATTTGACTTTTCCTCCATTATTGTTACTTTACTATTTTCCTATTGGAGTGTGGTAAATGCATTGAAAATTCCTCTAGTTTGTGACTTTTGGTGTGGATAAATGAAAAATTAAGTGCTTGAAATGTCAGTCTTTTGTGTTTCCTTTGCATTACTATAAATAAATGCCTTATATGCATCTATGTAGATGTGACAGTTTTTGATATTAAAAAGTAATGTCATACTCCATCAGGTATGCAGTATGTGCATATCTAAGACACGTGCATATCTGTGCCTAATTATGGCTTTATTCACAATAACTAAAAAAAATGGACCAGCTTAGATATCTATCAGCAGATAAATGGATAAGAAAAGCTTAATCATTATACATAATGGAATTTTATTCAATCATAAGAGAAAGTGAAACTGTGGTATTTGTAGAAAATAATAAGAGTACCTAGGCCTGGGGAGAGAAAGTGCTTGCCGCAAAAATGTGATGACCCCAGTTCAATCCTCAGAATCTGTATGAATGTCCCAGGGGTGGTGGCATGTGCTTGTAATCCCTGTGCTGAAGAGGCAGAGATTGGGGGATCCCTGGGCCCAGGGAAAGCTTTTAAAAAGCAAGTTATAATGGCATATTTGCATATATAATGGCATATTTGCATAAACATACCCAAATGAAATATATTATCTTGTTACCAATAAATTAAAGAGTTATAGGTACAGGTTGCAAAAAAAGTGGTGTCTTCAGATTTGGGGGACCCATGTAGTAAGAGATCAAGCCTATAAGAATGGATCTGTATTGGTGTCGCCGGGCAGGGTAAGAAGTGGTCTGCTTCCAGGCCTTTAAGTGACTTCTGGGACTTCAGAGGTCAGGTTCCCAGGTCCCCTTTTGCTTTTATTTGCTTTTCTTGAAGCCATGGAGTGTATTGTTTTTTAGGTAATCCTCTACAAAGTAGGCAACACCCAAAAAGGCTTCTCTTGGTATCATAGCTGGGACTTTCTAAGGGGCTTGGTTGCATTTATGAGATATGATAACAGCAATAGTCAAATAATTTCATATCATCCACATGTCCATTTTGATCTTCACCAACAGCAAAATATTTTGCTATCTCAAAAAAGCCAAACCCCCACATGCAACCAAGTGTGTAAGCCATGTGTATCATGTTTGTTACCTTGAAAATACTGATAATGTTTAAATAAAATGGGTTTGTTTTATGAATTCAATTTTAAGACATTGACTTACTGACTTGAGATAAAAATGAATTAATAAATTGTCCTTATTGTTAAGTTTTTCTATCATAATGTCAGTATCTTCTCCCTTTACATAAAGAGGAATATTTTTTCCTTAATTGAAACTGTATTTCTTTTCCATATTTTTTTCTAGCTTTTGTTTCTGGCAGTCTGAATCCAGTTATGGCCACGGAAGGCAATGTAAGTACCAGTATGAGCTCCCCTCAGAACATCCAGGCTTTAGCTCTTTCTAGTTTGATGAATAAGTAAAACAAGCTGATTTTAAGTCCCTGTTTGTCCTCCGTTTCATTATCTTCAGTGGCATCAAATGACCCTATTGCCAGGTTTCAAGTCTTGTGGCCTGTAAGTATTTAAAACCTCTGGCTATTCAGAGATAAGGAATACAAACAGGCACTGAACAAAAATCTTCCTTGTGACTTAAGAAGGTAGTAACTATGATATCATGAAACCTCTTATCAACTTTTTTTGTTTGTTTTCTTTTAAGATTTTATTTATTTATTATGTATACAGTTCTTTGCCTACATGTATGCTTGCAGGCCAGAAGAGGACACTAAATGTCATTACAGATGGTTGTGAGCCACCATGTGGTTGCTGGGAATCGAACTCAGGACCTTTGAAAGAGCAATCAGTGCTCTTAAACCACTGAGCCATCTCTCCAACCCTTATCAACTCTTATAGGACAATTTCTATTAAAAATTGCATTGCAGTTGTGGATTCCTTAAAAGCATTGTAGCTGTGGGTTAGTCTGAAATAGATGAGTATATTGAGCAAGTGTATTATTTGTGTGGGTAAACTTATGCACAGAAAAATGAGTAAGTTTATTATCATGATATGGCAGTGTAATAGGAGAGAGTGTGGAATGTGCATGAGGTTATGCATCTTTTGACACATCGAATGACCTTTTGATAGATGCAGAAGTGATGTACAGGGACTGGATCCACAATCCACTTTTTAGGGCATTTGCCTAGGTTCAAATCCAAATATCCCACAAATTGAGCACTGTGTACATCTATAACCTCAGCACTCAGGAGGTGGAGGCAGGAGGATATGAAATTTAAGGTACATAGTGAATTCCAGGTGAGCCTGGACTATATGCAACTCCACCTGAAAAAAAAAAAAAGAACTATCAGAAGAAGAGAGCATTGACTTGGTAACCAAATTGAGCACGTGAGTGTGGTTTCCTGATGCAAATTAGACAGCAGGTGTCAGGGCAAGTTGGCGCAATAGTGATGGAGAAAGGAGTTCCCTGGACAGCTCTTGAAAGGTGCATCTCCCTAAAAGGCAGGGCATCTGGTAAACCCTCTCTTTGGCTTCCTGATCCCTTCATTTCCCAAGCATACAACAATGAGCATACTTTAAATCTGATCTAATTCTAAATGATAGATAAAGCTTGTTGGTCATAAGAAATAGCGCAAACCTTAACAGACAGGGCAGGAAACCAAAAATGAAAGCCCAGAGTATAGTCAAGGTGCCTACTGTCAGGATTGTGGAGTCGCCGTTTAAAATGAAGGCCAGAGAGGCAGTCACTTGGATGTAAGGATGGAGGTTTTTAATGTCAGAGATGTGAGTTGTCACAGTGTAGGTAAAAAGACAAGAAGGAGAAAAAGTAGAGTGCTATTGGGAGGGTTTCTGCTGGAAGCTGAGAGAGCATGAGACGTGCAGGGTATTACCAGAAATGGTCTGCAGTCAAAGGGCAAAAAGAAATGAGTTTCATAGGTGTGTAGAGGAAGAGTCAGGAGGTCAGTGTGTGTGTGTGTGTGTGTGTGTGTGTGTGTGTGTGTGTGTGTGTATGTGTGTGTATGTGTTTATGTGCACATTTGTGTAGCTACACACATGTCGGTGGGTCAGAGAACAACTTGAGGACATCAGTTCTTGCCTTTCATTTTGTGGATTCTGGGGATAGAATTCAGACCACTAGATTTTGTGCAAGTATATTTCCCGGCTGTGACATCTCTCAGCACTTGAATACTATTTTACTCCTGAATTTATTTAGTCATTTGTGTGTGTATGGGGGCATAGGTGCACCCATGCACACTGGCACACTACCACGGTGTGAGTATGGGAGCCAGAGGACAGCTCGTTTAAGTTCGTTCTCTCCTTTGACCATGTGGGTCCTGGAGATTAGTGATTAGGCTTGCTGGCAACTGCCTGTAGTTGCCGAACCATCCTTCCAGTCCTCAAAGTTCAAAAAATTATAAAAATGTGTGTACTTATAGGTGTATGTGTTATATGGACAGAGAAACAGAAAGCAGAACGAAACAATAACGATGTTGCTAGGTCCTTGAATGATAACATGACCCTTGTATCACTTCAATTTTTACATGCAAAGGATATAATTTTCCAAGTGGGAGAAGTTAATTTTACATGTGGAGAGGAATGGAAAGTCAAGGTAATATAAACCCATCTGACACTGAAATATTCATGGAAGTCTAGAAAGAAGAAAAATAAAGATTACATGTTCTCTCTCATACATGAGCTCGCCTATGAGGTTTGTATGTATTTGTGGGTGTAAGTGTGGAGTGGATATAGGCTCTGAGACCAGAAATGAAATGAAAAGCGAAAAGGTGTTGAAGAGGGGGAGGGTGATAAGACACATGGGACATGAAAATAGAAAGGAAGTTAGGTAGGAGGTGAGAGGAAGAGTTCAAAGTAGTGAAGGGACGGGGAAGAGAGAGTAGACAGGAATGGCAACAAGAAACAAGTTTTGTCTGAAAGTGCCATAATGGAACTTAACTGTGTATGCTAATTAAAAAACGAAAATAAAAATAGTCATTTAATATGCATCCAGAATCCATTATCTGTTGAGTTTGTCTTCGATAAGAACTAGAAATTAAACTGACTTCAGATAATGTGATGGTTTGAATGAGAGTGGTCCCTATAGGCTTACAGAGAATGGCATTACTTGAAAGGATTAGGCCATGTGGCCTTGCTGTATTGAAGCAGCCTTGTTGGAGGAAGTGTGTCACAGGGGGTGGGCTTTGAGGTTTCAGAATCTCAAGCCCAGGCCCAGTGGCTCTCGCTCTCTCCCTGCTGCCTGCCAACCCAGATGTACAACTCTCAGCTCCTTCTCCAGCACCATGTCTGCCTGCACGCTGCCATGCTTCCTGCTAGGATGATCACAGACTAAACCTCTGAGCTGTCAGCCGGCTCCGGTGAAATATTTTCCTTTGTAAGAGTTGCCGTGGTCATGGTGCCTCTCCACAGCAACAGAAACCCTAAGACGAATCGATTCAGATGTTCACATCTTCAGAAAACAGGATTAGAAGACAATGTCTAATGGGATTACCAGAGGTCTACTGGGTCATCTGTGTGACCCCTGACCTGGAGCGATCATCACTATGGCACGTGACCCACTTCCCTGGGTCCTGGACACCAGTGAATTCCGTTCTTTAGTGGAAACTGGCTATTTATGGAATTTCTCATTCTCTGAGCCCCCCTGCACTGCAGGCCCCCTCAGCCCAGCTTCCTCTCTGGCTCTATTTTCCTCTCATTTCTCTTAGTGCCACAGGCACTGGGGAACTCTATTAGCGCTGCTCTTAAGCATTTTCCCCAGCAGCCTTGGCTTTTACCCTCTTTTATCCATTCAGAAAATCCGTTCAATTTTCTGCTGTCATTTGTTCCCGAAGGCAGAGGCGACCTATTTTTGTCTTACGCGTCTCACAAGGTTTATTTGATACATTTGACCTAATCAGGTCCCGGATTACTCTTCATTTCCCCTAAACTAATGTTTGCTGAGCCGTCAGGGGCTGAACACTCTGCCCGGGGCGGGAGTGCAAAGATGAACAGCTCACTGTCTCATGGAGACAAAGAAGACAGGTCTCCTAGCCAGACGGCTCATCACTGGGACTTGTGCGATAAACGGTGCCCACAACTTAAAACTAGATTTAAGTGTTTGAAATTTAGTTATATGGAAGTGTTACTCACTTTGGCTAAGCTGGGTTGTTTGTAACCTGACAGTATTCTATTTTCTCTTCTGAACAAAAGAGTGGATTTTTTTTTTTAAAAGCAAAAGCTGGGGTTAGAACCCGGAATAATCAACTCCCAAAGTTCTGAGGCTTCTGTCTTGGTGACGCCCCTTCTGTAGAGTGACCCTTGTCCTTCCCTCTTCTGATTGGGCATTCCCCAGGGCCCCTCTTCCTCTCAGTCTACCAGCCACCTAAATACTAGAGTGGGTTTTCTTTTTTCTTTTTCTTTCCAATAATCTTTTTATTGATTGTTTGGTACTTTCCCATAATGCTCCCTGAACACATTCCCTTTCCAGTCTTTCCAGGTTCACCCCTCTTCCCTTGTGACCTCCACAAAAGAAAAGCAGGAGAAAATAAAAATTAAAAAAATACAAAGTTCAATTTGTGTTGCCCATATACTCACTGGAGTATGATAAAACTTTCAGTGGCCAGCCCCTGGATGAAAACTGAGTTCTTCCCCATCCCTCGCCCCACCCCTGAAGCCATCAACTACATAGAGCTCCATTTCAGAACCTCATCACAATTTTTAAGAGTCCTCTTCAATGGCTTCCTGTCTAGACTGTTTCTTTTTGGGGACATGGAGGAGGCAGTGGTGGCTTATGTTGTCACCTGAGTCCATACTGATGTCTACGACCTGTACTGCTGCTAAGGGCCATGATGGTATCCATGGTTCTTGCTGCAACCAAGGGCCATATTGATGTCTTTGGTCTGTACTGCTACCAAAGACCATTCTGGGGTCCATGGCTAATACTGGAGGCCATGTGGATGTCCGTGGTCCATACTGCCACCAGAAGCCAAGTGGAAGTCCGTGATCCATGCTGCCACTGACTGTAGAGGGGCAAGGGAGCTTCTTTGGCAGTGGTATTGATGACTTCAAACGCACTGTGGAGAACGGGAGAACGTGGAGAGTGGATTATCTTAACTGCAGTTCTCATGGTGCCCCGTGCTAGTGTACACTTGATTGGTGGCTACCCATTGGACTTCCTGTAAGCCTGACAGTTTAGAACCCAATTTACAAGGCCCTGTGTGATATGGCTTTGACACTCACAGGGGTCGTCTGTCACTCTGTGTTGATGCTCATTGGACCAGCCATACCTACCCTGTTGTTGTACATCCTCTTAGGCCTGGGCTTTTCTTTTTCCAAGCATTTGATGCTTGCTCACAGGCTGTCTTCCTTGACGGCATTCTTCTGCTGAACTCACCTCTGTCTTTCTG